GGATAGACCAATCGATACACATTTCTGACATGGGTATTTATGGGAACACGTGAAGGGTAGCAAGTTAGGGAAGAGACTGATGATGAATGACGCTTTTGCTAGAAAATGAGACAGTCTGAGGATATAGTGAGCAAGGTACATCTCACACATTTAATTGGAGGAAAAAGAACTGACTTCCCTCAGCGCCAACTCTGTCAACAGGCACCTGGACCTTCCTGCGTCCTGCAAAGTCCTACGCCACTACATTAGTAAAGGACAGGACCTGGTCAAACTGAACCAAGGATTTGCAAACAAAGATGACCCCTTGACAAAACCACCGGAAGAGGGAGCAGGAGTACCACATTCCTCAATCGTGGGGACGGAACACAACACCACTTGCAGCCAATTTATGTCAAAATCTACATGCAGGGCCATGTAGCAAGCGTAGAAAAAATCGATCAGCCCATGGTCAGCACACACACACACAGCCACAACTTTGAATTGCTGATCGACAAAGTCAGTTCTCGCTTTGACAAAGGACAGCCGGCCCAGCTGTCAAAAACGTCAGCAGGCGAAGAACCATATCCCGGTGAACAGAAATTATCCATGATAATAAGCTAGCCACCTACATTACAGTAAGCATCAGGCTCTATGAACAAATGACACATTATGATGAATTGGCAATTTATGCAGATGTACTGGCCCGATAATAAAACACAGAAAACAATCGTTTTCCAAAGAAATGAATGAATCGCCAGTTTCGCTGACCGGAGGATATAAAGCAAATGTAGTATAGCTGCACTCGAAACTCGAAAAGAACGTTTGTGTGTCTTGTGCAGAAAACGCCGCTGACAGAATCCCCAACTTCCAGGATCACTTGATGGAATGTTTGATTGAAAATATGCTTCGTTGGGTCCGTCTAAGAGTATACGATTCAGAGGAGTCGGAACAAATGAGAAATTTAATCCAATTCTCGGCCTTCGTTTCACTTTTGCTTACTGCCCTGGCAAACCCACCAAGGCTCTTTAAAAGGCCTACCCATTGGAATCGCTAATTGCAAACAACCAAAAAGAGGCCGTCTGTGTTAAAACAAAAGAACAGTTGATGGGTTCTCGGTAGAACTCCTTTCTTCATATGGCGTCTACCCTTTCGGCGATTAAAAAAACCTCCGAAAGCCAGAGAAAATGGGGGCAAGAATAGTTTTAAAACTTGGCTAACTAACCTATCTTCTATGACTGTTGGTGTGACGACCTTAGGGGACTCATCATTTAGAATATTTTCGTTGAAAGTATTTTTACAGGGTTGAGAGGTAATTTTGTTTTCAGCCTTGGTGAAGCCTCCATTCTGTATTTGTATGCGGTCCGAAACGATCGGCGCCCCGGCGGAGGGGATGTTGTTGGGGGTGGGATTTGGGGAGCGTGGATAATCTAGAAAGCAGAAAAAACACCTACTGAGAACGACTAGTAGGCAGGTAACACTAAATTGAAAAGTCGAGTCAGTGGCTTACTGCACCATTAGAATAGTTTAAACAAGTTACAAGCCCGCGGAGCGTGTACCTTGAGTCGTTGACGCAGGAGGCAAAGCTCCAGCTTTGGATGATTTTGCAATGTCTAACCACTGTGTAAATCTGTAAAGTAAAAAAGAAATTTTCTTAAAATTGTGACGCCAAGTAGGATACTATCCCAGAATCACAATCTGTTTTGATCATACAACAAAGTCCACATAAAATTGGAAAGGACGGACGACAAGAAAGGAATATGAATAAACATATCCCTAACAAAAGTAAAAGGAGTAGTCCACATAATAAAGTCCTCAAGGACATTTTCTAAAAGGGGTGCTACGTCTAAACTTCCTCCGCCAGTTCCACCGTTCCGACATAACAAGCGAGTTATTGGCAGTAACACAAAGGAAAAGGCTCAAATTTTCGAAGTGAACTTTCGGATTAGGATGCATCTGTATGAGAGAAGAAATGGTGGGCAATTCCGACCAGCACCTTAGTCAAAGGGACATTTATCATACCCATTTTGCATATTTCGACTGATTCAAAGTACAGCGGGAAACGTAGCCGGAAGACGACTACTACTACTACGTGACCATTTGTCCGAAGTGGCTATGCATTGCCTTGACACAGGATACACCTTTGCATGGGAAAAAAACACACATCGTCGGAGTTTGCCCTTCCAAAAAGTCCGATAATTTTTGAGGCCATGAACTCCGATGATTCATGCATCAACAGGCGTATCGAGTTGGATGGAATGTACAAACATCTCAAAGAAAGGTGGAAGAGACTACAGCCGATAACTATGGACAAACATGAACCGCAATTAGCGCCCATGCCTGATGATCCGGACCGACGCAAATGACAGTTGCCGATTGGCCAGTACGCCATTGCGACTGCTAATTATGTCCAACACGGCCTGGCGCAAATTGCAGCTACCGATTAGCGCCCACACTAGAAGACTATACAACTGTACCGGCACTTTGAAAATTTAATTGTTCTATGAACAGCTTCTCAAGTATGACGATGACCCGGGGATCCAGTGTCAAAAATTTACTCACTTTCTCATTTTTCCAAAGGACACCTTCCCTTGAAACTACTACTACTACTACTA